TGAAAGGGCTATAAGAAGGAGACCAAGGGGAATCTGGAACGAAAATGCCACACAAACAGTGCGGAAGAAGTGCACAAGAAACGTGATAGAATGAGAAAACGTGGAGGGCATTATGTTTTCAAATCTTTGATACCGACTATAACGAGTCGCGATGGTAACGAGAGAAATCGTTTCGGATTGTGTAAGCGATTGTTGCTGCCATTTTTAGAGACTACAACGTGGTAGCTAGCACATGTATGCAATAACATCAAAGTGGAGGATTTTATTTTCTAGAACACGACCATTCATTGAAGTGCAACACTCGTTTGTGCTAACAGTATCACATCTCTATTGAAAACTGATCGGCAAAGGAATTGACAATAAAAGCACGAGAGCACGTCCGGTTAATATCTACTCAAAGACGATCGATCAAAACTAATGGTTAAAGCTGGTTCTAACGCAAACCAAATAAATGGCAATTCTCCTTATAATTGCTTGCCCATTGAAGGGCCATGTTTTCTGAACTGCAGAAAAACAGTTTATTTTAATAATCACTTTATGTAAGCTGCATTGCATAAATAAATTAAAGCGCATACAGTCGGACGCACATCCTAATCTATTTTGCTATACTACGCTTTGGAAACTATTTTAATGTGGTTGAAAGACAAACTAACGTATATCATTTACAATCATGTTATTATAATTGCGTGGTCGCATCGTCCCGAGTTCGTACCACGACACGATTTTCCTTAACTTCGCTAATGACGACATAAATAAAGTTATAAGAATATCCTTGCATCGATTTTTAGTTAGAAAAAACAACTCATCAATAATGCGTAATGAAATCAGTAAAGCAAAAAAAAAACTTCTAAGTGGATTTGTGCGGAATAGACTTTCCTGAGCAGTTGAAGCGGAAGAACGTGGTAAAGGATGCAGAACTTACCTTTGAAAAACAAAAGGAAATTAACTTATTTGTTAAAAATATTCACGTACCGCAAGTTCTGGAGACAGGGATGTTAAAGGGTCTTCTTTTCCGGCGAATAAGCAGAAGTCGTATCCGGTACGCTTGCGCGTCGCGTGTTGGCTTGTCTTCCGTTTTTGCGGATGTCACAAAATTGAGCACACTTTTCCACATTTATCGTGAAGCGATGCATTTTTATTGATTCCAAATGAATTCGATAATATAATACCCTACTTTTCCCAGGCGCACCTTTCGAATGAATGCCTTTCAGTTTGTTTCCGCAACTTCAACAATCGAATAATCCGCGGCGTTCAGTCTCCCCTTGAATTTTTTCCAAACTCGGTTATATCGTATTGTTACGCATTCTAAATACAATCAAAGTCTCTTCATCTTTATGCAACCATACTTCACATCACTAGAAAGTTGCATTAGCACCTTAAGTGGCATCAACACAGTTACGAAGTCATCCCAAACTTAGATTATTTTGCAAGCGGTCTTGATTACATCTAAATAGAACTTTTCGGTTGTAACAGATGCTGCAAAAAACTCATGAACCTTGCTTTAACTTACGAAAGTTAGTTATTTATTAATTTTGCTAACAAAAATACGAAAACGTAGTTACAAAAATCCCTTGCAAAGAATCATGTACATCTTTGACTCGTGGCTACATACCTAGCTGAAGCTTCACTGATCTTCGACATTGACTTCAAATGTAACATTTCGAAAAATTGAAATTAATAAGAACGCAGTTGACGGACGGACGAGCTTTTTATTCGCTTTTGATACATGTCGCTAAAATGGGTAATATTAACAAAATAGAGGTAAGGAATATGCTCATTTTTTCATTATTCACCAGTTTATATTGTTCGTGAGAGAACACGTTGCATGTAACAAATCGCTCATTGTTAAATATATTTTACTTGCAAGTACCATTAGCACAGTGACCATACGGGATGACGTTCAACAAATTAGAGACAAGCTGAAATTTGGCAAGGACCCCAGCGCCGATGCCTTGTGCCCGTCACCCCAAAACCACCCCCTAGGTGGCGAAAATGTACCTTTTTTGAAGTTTTGCTCAATAACTCAAAACTAAGCATTTTAAGAAAAATTATCAAAGTTCTCGTGTGAGATCGAAGGGACTTCAGCGCATTTTTGTGTGGCAGATCAGTATTTTATTAGCCACTTTTGACTCAACCATCAATAAAAGATCTTGTCGAAGGCTAGTACATTCACATTGTTGGTATCCGCTTCCCACTTTCCGCGTACACCCGCAATTCACGTTTAAAGTGTTGACTCCACCATCAGTAAAATCTTTTCCGGGGCTACCATATTCCCTTTGTCGGTATCCACTTTCGATGTCCCGTTCCCTTCCAATGCGCGTTTGAAGATTTGACTCCACCATCAGGAAGATCGTGTCGGGGGCTACCACATTCCCTTTGACGGTACCCACCTCCGACTTCCCGTTCACCCGCATTTCGCGTTTGAAGATTTGACACCACCATCAGGAAGATCGTGTCGGGAGCTACCACATTCCCTTTGACGGTACCCACCTCCGACTTCCCGTTCACCCGCATTTCGCGTTTGAAGATTTGACACCACCATCAGTTAGATCTTGTCGGAGGCTACCACATTTCCTTTTTCGGTGCATACTTATATTACACCCACATTTTGGTGGATTTTGCTAAAAACCTTCCACAAGACAGTACTTAATTTTTGGGTCACTTCTCATTACTCAAGCTTCTATTGGCGCCACGAGAAAGAGAGACAGCGATTCGAGATTTACGAAACGTTAAACCGCGTGACAAAATTCTCAACAGAAGGTAAAAGGCGCCAGAAGTTGACTACTTCTCGAAGACGCGCGCGCGCGCGCCTTGCAAAAGGTCGTTAATTTCGCCCCTAGGACAAAAAACAAAATTCCGCCACGCAGGAGTTGTGCGCGTTTACAACATCTTTCCGACGACACCAATTTGAAAAGAATCGGACCAAAACTGTAGTAGAAGATAGGAAAAACCTACGCTCGAGGATGACGCTCAGATGTCGCCAACTCCACATCATGTAGCCCTGTCCCTAAAGTTGACAAATTACACGGCCTTGTAGATACACGTACACCCGTTGCCTTTCTACAAGAGTTCTTCTACGCGCCCACATTTGCTGCCAGCCAGCCAGCCAGATAAAGTGAGATTAAAAGCTCCTTTTTACAAATAAATTTGCAAAAATGCGCTAAAAAATGTCAAGAGAGGAAAATTGCAGAGAAGAAAATTTGCTACCACATAATTCAATACTGCCTCCTGTAAGGGGGTTTTGCAGTTAACCTGCCCCTCCTCCCCTTAGAGATTTGATGGTCGTTTTGTTATAAAGTAATGCGTCATGTGTTCACACGCGCCACCGATAACAACTCTTGCGCCATTGATAACAACTCTTGCGCCATTATTGTTTTCTAGCAATCCGAAAACACATTTAGGCCAAGCATATGTAGCCTCCCCCCCCTCCCCCAACGTATTTTGTCGCCGGTATCTATGCCATGTCATTTGAATTAAAGCTAGCGTCATCACGGTTAAGCCATGACAAATTTTCAAAAAAGGCTAGGGGAGGGGGCAACTTAACGTTTTTCAAAGTTTTTTTTTCTATCACGTTTCTATACTAAATTGTACTCAGGAGTTGGGCACAAGATCTTTCTGACGACACCAATTTGAAAACAATCGGGCCCAAACTATAGAAGAAGATAGAAAAACACTGAAAAATCACCACGTTAGTATACATATTCGATATGCCAAGATTGCGATTTCTGACGTTTTGAAGCAGACAGATCCCAAAAAAGTGATTTTTAGCTTGACGTGGGTGTGTGTATGTGGTTCGTTTTTTGTGAACATGATTACTAAAAACCCCTGAACCTATTTGGATGCATTTGGGGTGCATATAGGGTAGTATGGGGAATCGAAAACGTCCTATTTTAGTTTTCATCCGTAACCATCTTCAAGGTTGTTAAGGACGTCAAAAGTTTAAAAGAGCCATAACGGCTTGAAACATTTTTTTCGCATACACTGGCCAAAATGGCTTAAAAAACTCTACAAAAAAGTTCATTACAATTTATTTTGTGTGTTTTTGAGAAGTTTTGAACTGAAAAGTTAAACTATTTATTTTATTTTTCTAAATTTGCATTTTTCTCTAAGAGTAAGCATCAGAATGAAAAATGTTAATTACAAAAAAGATGTGTCTTGATGAGATCTACAAAAAAGGCTTTACACTTTTTGCGTCGGGTTCAAAATAAAGGCGCCTTTTCTAAATGTTATACTATGACCAAAGATAATTGCAATGACTCTATTAAAGGTAGTCGGAAAGTCAGGAGTTTACCTGACAACTAGTTACAAGTAAATTTGCAAAAATCTGATAAAAAAGAAGGAGAATTTGGAAAATATTGACTCTTCACAGCAACACTAACTGCAAGTAGGAACTAAACGGAGAATGAGGTGCCGGAAAAGTCGAGACGCCCACGATTGGGGTGGGGGTGGTTGGTTAGAGTTATAACAAGGTACCTACCTTGCCAAATTTCAGCTTGTCTCTAATTTGTTGAACGTTACCCATATAAAACGATGGATAGGCCCTGTGCTATATGGGAATTTATAGCAGTAGCAGTGCTCTCCATAACGCATGCTGTTTGCATGAGGTTTTAGTCTAAGAGACGGATAGTTTTCATCCCCCTCTTTCGCTTTTAGAAACATCCGCATAAAAGAGACTTTTGGTTCGCAGATATTCTCGAACGATCTTCTTTGTCTTTTAATTCTGACTTTATAGTCCAGGCATTTTGGTCCGAAAAAAGGGGTTGACTGGAGAGTTTTAAAAATGGGTCATTTTATAGAGTTCTTCCGCCTCTCTCAAACTAGTTGAAGGCTGCTGTCTCAACCCCTGTAGAACTGTAGCTTCAAAAATTCCTCACTAAACGTTTTGCAAAAGTACTACAAAATAATCACAAGGCAAATATTTCAAATTACTGCAATCGCGTTTTAAATTGAATATTATGTTTTTATAGAACCTGACAGCCTGTCAAAACATAGTTTCCTTTATATTTTATTTAATACGAATTTACTTTTTTGGTACATTTCACACTACCACAACGTGCACTTCTTTCTAGGGTTCATGGGACTATCGCCAGGGCAGTTCCAGGCATTTGCAAACTCTTCGGAATTTTGTAACGCGCCTAAGACTCGTATCCGATTCGGACTATGCGCTCCGTTTAATAATTTAACCTTTAGAGCTTCAGTCGTAGAATTTCCACACCAGATCTGCAATAAAAGTGAGAGTCGAGTGAAGCTAACGCGCAGTAACAGGTTTACTTGTGCAAATCCCAGAAAGAAAAGCTGCTCCATGTTCAAATCGGATAGTCCAGGTAGTTTTTGCGGGTAAAAATTCGCCCTCGCGCGATATCTTCGGAAACCTTCATAGGCGGCATGCAAACCTCCATTATCCGCTACGTTCTCCCCTTGAGTGTTATATCCTTGAACCTGAAAACCAAAATAAAATAAATCTTGCAGTTCACGGTCTGGCTCAGGGCAGCCTGAGAAGACGCCTAGAGGTTCTGAGGGACCCAAAGTTGCGAGTGCACCACGAATCTATGGGCAAGTCGCTGCGGCGGGATTCGGGGTGGCCATCGTTCCGGTATCACATCCGGAGATGGGCATCACTGAGCCTCAGATGAGGCTGCAGTGCATACCGTTGTCGACGGAAGGGAGGGAGCTCTTTCTTCGGCTGGCGGGTTTCAGGTGGAATACGCAGGGTGCCATTGTGGTTGAATACGAGGACTAGTGGACTTTGGACTGGTTGGAGAGGACCGTCCCTAGGCCCTGAAGGTTGAGAAGCACGTCCCTAGAGTAACTAAAGTGGTGGCTGTGTTATATGGGCTCGCGGATGACACGGCCACCATCTTTGAAGCACCTCCAGAGGCAAAATCCTGATTTCAGGATCTTCGCCTCGCCGAGTGAGGAGTCTGGTAGGGTCCTCCTCACATTTGGTGTCGATGAGGCATCCTATCGGGCACTCCAGCAACAGAACTTTCAGTCACACGGGAGGTCTCGCACGTGACTTTTGTGATGACTCAGTTGATAGAGTACTGTCTGGAATGTTTTAAATCAGGGACTAGCCCCTACCTTTGTCACAGCCCGGAGAAGGGAGGTTATTGATCTGACGTTGGGCTTGTTTTTCAACAGTTCACATGTTTACGAATGGAAGAGTGTCACTTTTGGAGTACGGTCACATTCTTTTTCAACTAAACTTGCTGCGGGCCCTGTAGGTTCCGGAATCGCCGATTCACTGACTGGAACCGGGGGCGAAACTGTCAGAGGGTTTGGATGTACCACCTTTTAGTCGGTCGGAAAGCAGGACAGGTGAAAGAGGCGTAGGCATTCGCAAGCGGCGCCATAACAGCGTCATATGAGGACCTTTCGATGAACGAAGAGAACACCTTAGTGGAACTCAGACCTTGAACAGGTTCGTAAGGAGGTTCACAGGCTCTTTAATACGGTAATTGAACTATGATCGCTCAGCGAGGTACAAGATCCTTTTGAAAGACTCGGGGCAAAAAATGGGAACACTGAAAACGGTGGAGAAGCTGGTGGATGCATACATAAGGAATGGGGTACCGGTCCTTAGAACACCACATCCATTCCAACATGCTTACAGGGCTGGAATAATCAATCAATTAAAGAAAGAATCGAAAAGGAAAAGAGGTCGACCCAAAAAGGAATCGATTGAAGCGGCGGACGAAGACCTGACACAAATGAAAGTAAAAAGTTGGGGGGAGTAATTAGTGACCGACGGAAGAAGGGGAGAGTTTAGTATAAGCCATGAAAATGTGCAGGTAGAATAATTACTTTGTATCAATAACGATGTCACTAATAATTAATATTTAACATAATATTCTCATCATATTGTCACCAAAGTTCAATATTTCCCTAATTCCCTGATTTGAGGCGTTAAGGTAAATTTGTTACTATATCAAGATAATAACCGTACCTACTAGGTACTTACTACAGCATAGCACTGTAACGTTTTATGGACTTGCAGTTTGGAAGTAGCGCTCGTTCACAAAATCGGATTTGAAATAGCATTACAACTCTTATTGTGCTCTTTCCGAGTGTCATTGTAAACTTTGATTTGAGGCAAATGTGTTGCATTCCTTATACCAACGTTATTGGTGCCTTCAATAGGGCCACCATTCTATGCGTTTACAATTAATTTAAAACCAACTGTGACTAGACCTGACCTCGTCACCCTGAAAGATAGAATTTGAAAGATCTAGTAATCTGTTTATAATATGAGAAGGTTCAAATAGCAATTAAAATATTTCCATGTGACTTGTAATGTATTAGTTTCAGTAGAGCGTAATGTTACGGGTTTCCGTTTTCATTGTTTTACTGTACTTACAGGAAAAGTTGGTCCAAGTTCTGGCATTGAATAATTGCTATACTGTTCGATAATGCATTTAACTTTGTTATGGTAATGTTGCATTGTAGTTAGTGACCACCACTGATTTAAATTTCCGTGCTCATCATAACGTCGACCTAAATTAATAGAGAAAAATTAGTTAAGCTACGCCAACAAAAATTGGAAACGATACCTTGATCATCAAATCCGTGTGTTATTTCGTGTCCCATTATTGCGCCGATGGATCCATAGTCAATTGCTCTGCAGTTCAAATTTTAAAATTAATATGTAACTGAACTTCATTCAAGCAACTTTAACGTATTACATAAAACGTATAATTTTGCAAGATCGATACGAATAAATCAAAAAGAGGATTTAAAAAATGTATGCGAATAATCTCGAGGAAATTCTTTCAGTTATTAATATACCACGGCGTTTTCCCCTAAGCGTCTTTCTTAATGTATTCTTTTAAAGCAAAATTCCCGATTTATTTAACTGTAATGCTCTTATAATGTAATATGTATAGGAAATTAATCTACATTTACTAATTGGTTGCGTTTAATTTTGAAATATTTGAATCAAGTTCCTACGACGAATCTGGAATTCCATTTTAATTATTGTTAGCTAGTTCCTTATGCGACCTCCAACTTTTAATTCCAAGCCTGAAAATATACATAATCGTGTCCCACTTAAAGTTAAAGCGGGAGGAATGGAAAAAAGGGAAATTTACAGGATTTCCTTTTGAACTCCGCTTCCAAATGATTTTTGTTAGCACGTTTCGCAGACTCTTCTTGTCGCGACGTTCAAGAAAAACTTGATAAGGTTTAATAAGCGACGCAAGTGCGAGATTTACACGGATCTTTATTTAATCGTGAATTTTAGTATTTGCACTGTACTTAAAAGAATAATATTGCTGATTAAGTCGTTATAATTTTAGTAGCAATTTTTGACGCCAATTTTCAGTATTTTCTGGCCCAACCCCTCACGAATCCATTCTCCAGCATTTTCCGAATAAAAGCAAATTGCTAGAAATAATGTTTTGTGTGGATTAACGGAGTAGGGAATCGCTTTCAACTACAGTTTATAGAAAATCTAGTATGCATAGGGGAAGTGGTTCTAACGCACTTAATTTCACTAGGAAACTTCATTTTTTATCACTTTGATATCTATTCTAATATACAGAGTTGCTATAAAGTCATGGAACAAGGCTCTCCTGCTGAAACAGTTCGAGATTTGTACTTTGGAGGACGTCAATGGGACATTGCACTCCAATCCGTAGGGTGGTCGCCATTTTGAATTTTTTTAATGACAACATGGGTCATGTAACACACCACTGGAAAACGTATTGTTTTCTCTTTCTAGTGATGTGAACATTTTACCAAAGAGTGGTACTCTTTGATTTTACCCCTTCTTGTGGGAAATGATGGAAAATTTTTATTATTATCTGATCGTAAGTAAAGGAACACGGACCTCTGTGGACAAATTTAATGAGACATTGCTCCATTTTGTAAACTTCAATTATTAGGATCCTTTACAGTTTTGTGTTGTGGTCCGTCCGTACGTCCGTGTGCGCTATAATTCTTTTTAAAAGTGTCCGATTGTGGTGGCTTGGTGTACGGGTACTTTGGACATTAAGGACGGACGCTATTGATTTCCTGAAAGGTGGTTCCACAGGAACAAAAGTTATAGGACTTCGAGTGAATCGGGAACAGGAAATACTGCGGGCTCAATATATGTCATAGAAATTAACATATTGCATTCCCTAGGTCATGTATCGAGTTCGAACCTTAACTAGATTATTTCCTACTCCTTAGAAGTGTAACAATTGTATTTTACAGGCCACATTCTATAAGACAATCTTTTTCCCGGGCCGATCTGAGACAATTTTTTTTCGGGCCTCAAAAAATTGGCAGTGTATAACCTTCCTTTTTTACCAAAAATCGACTACACCAAAATTTCTGGGGAAAACACTTTTTCTTATTAATTTTGGTGCGTAGAATTCAAAACAATTCGTACTTTTTCGATTAGACTTCTCTACACCAAAATTTCTGGGGAAAACACTTTTTCTTATTAATTTTGGTGCGTAGAATTCAAAACAATTCGTACTTTTTCGATTAGACTTCTCTATCAAAAGTTATGGACTAGAAACCAATTTCGAAAGAAAATTCAAAGGGCTGTAACTTTTGAACTAGTAGCCCAATCTTGGAACTGTTTGAAATTATGGATTCTACAGGCCACATTCTATAAGAGTTTTTTTCCGGGTCGATCTGAGACAATTTTTTTTTTCGAGTCCCAAAAAAGGCAGTGTCGCTCGACTCCACTTAACGTTCACTTTTATTATGACGTAACGAAAATTATTTAAACACTATTTAACTTTCTTCTGCACAACTTTACAATTAAACAAGACAGACGGTCTTCTCAAATACGCCCAAATGCGGCAGTACGCCAAACACTAATACAAACGGCTACATTTATTTCAACGTCCAGGCCTCGTTTAATATCTAGGTACCTCTCCTATTGAAAGCGGTTTCCTTTCTTTTCAAATTTCAATTCTCCTTATGAGTGAGTCGTCAAAACGAGCATCTGCTCCATTCGGCGCGGATAACACGTGCTTATCTTGAAGCTAATTAGCTTATGCCGCGAAAAGGGAATTTTTTATTTTTACAAAACTTCGCAAACAATTTTAAAACGTAATTTAAATTTACAATTACGAAAACAAAATAAACAAAACCAAACATAAAATAATTTTGATACGAAATAAAATTGACCTCGAATTCAACTAATAATAATAATAAACGCAAAGCCAAAGAAACACTTACACAATAAACTCTATTTAATAAAAGTACAGAAATTATTATAATGATATTTTTGTTTTGATTTCTTCTTTCCTGATAGCGTTGACTATTGTGGCCATTAATAGCTATGTTGGTAAGTATGAATTTCATACTATCCCTAGATTTCCAATAACCCTACATAACTTCACCAGACACAGACACAGACACTAATCGTTACTTGATTTTAATCCGTGCGATTAGTTAACCAGGCTAGACCTGAGTTCTCACAAGAAACACCGACAATAATAATAATATTGCCTTTATTGTTCCAAAAAAAGAAAACAAACATCTATTGCAGTACATTAAGGGCGAAGTTCAGCACTGCGGCAATGCCACAGTCTGCTCTTCCACTTAACCCCATTACTACATGTATTACTAGACGAGAAAAAAAAAGTATTCAACTAAACAAAAAAAAACAAAAATAAAGAAGAGGTACTTTAAAATCATTAGCTCTTACTACGCCAACAAATCATTATTTTGCATTATTTACCCATTGATTGCTAGGCCACCTTTCATTAACGAAAGCAACTTCGGTTTGAAGCAACTTATTGACATATTTTTCAGAATATCCGGTAGCTGATTATAAACTTTTGCTATGTTGTAAGTGAACGATCTTTTGAAATACTCCGTATTGTGAGTCGGTGGCGTTAACATCCCTTTATATCTAAAATTTAACGTATGGACATCTGTCCGAAACGATATTTTTTGGAAAAGGTACTGTGGACTTTTGCATAAAATAATTTGGTGAAACAGTGTGGCAGCATGTTGCATACGTCGATTACGCATATTTAACCAATCTAAGGCTCCTAATGTGTGACTAATCCTATTGTATTTACGGATACCGAAAATTAATCGTAAACACGCGTTTTGTAGCTTTTGGATTCTTGAGGCATCAATAGAGTCCAAGCACGGGCCATAAACTGCATCACAGTAATTGAATTTTGATAGCACTAACGCATTGCAAACACGAGATCTTAGTTTCACGTTCATCATGTGCCGATTTCTAAAGATAAGTTTTAACACACTATACGCGGTATTAAGAATTTTAGTGACATGCTCCTTAAACGAAGTTTGTAACCCATGTATACTCCTAAATTTTTTACCGAATCATTTAACGAAATGTTTTGGGAGTTCAGAATTATATTAATAAAAGGTATAACGCTCTTAATCTAGTCTGGTCCCTACCGAAGAGTATTGCTTGTGTCTTTGATACATTTAAATTCAATTTATGCTCTTCAGAGATGTTCTTGATTAATTGCAGATCTTCACTAATTAGATCACACGCATTGTTGACTTGGTCTGCAGCGAATGACAAATATATTTGTGTATCAGCAGCATAGAAATGGGATTTACAGTGTTTAATTGCATTTGAAAAATTAGAAATATAAATCATAAATAGAAGTGGGCCCAACACAGACCCTTGTGGTACTCCCCTGCCATTATATAGGAAATTGGAATCTTCTCCCCCTAAAGAAACTGCCTGATACTTGTCACTTAAATAATTTTTGATCAACATCACCGCCCCTTGATCAAAGTTAATATAATTCAGTATAGCTAGCAACAGTTTGTGATCAAGAGTATCGAATGCTTTGCTGTAATCAAGCAGTACTAGTAGTGTCAATTCGCCTTTATCGGTTGCACGAATGATATCGTCGGTTATGTTCAAGAGAGCGGTGGTGCAACTGTTCCCAGGTCTAAAACCCGATTGGTTAACGGGAATTAAATCATTAGATGTCAAGTGGCTACGTATCTGTGCATCGAGGACTTTTTCAAAAAATTTTGAAAGTGTAAGCAATATATTAATGGGTCGTAAATCTTTGAAATCTGATGGGTTTTTTGTTTTCGGAAGTGGGATAACACGAGCTAACTTCCACTGAGATGGGAATAATGAGTGTTGTATACAGTAATTTATCAAGTGCGTTATATAAGGCAGAAGAAACGGAACGCATAGTTTGAGTACAAAATTTGATCGAAACTTGAATTTAATCTCAGTTTATAACCATATTTAACGTAAAAAATAATTGAAATTAAACATACAGAGTCCCCCGCCATTACTGTAGGTGCTGACGCCCAACAATATATAGAGGTTGATGTATTGTGATTAAGTTTTTCCACTTCAACACTTTTGCCAAGAAAATCGATAAAGAAATAATGTTTGCAAAGACTGGAGGGTGTCTAAAATGCCTTTATTGGTTGGTGTACTTAGCTTACATTCCTCTAATTACCGTTGCCCAGAAAACTACCCCAGCAACTTTTTTTTGATTGTAAAAAATGGGTTGGACCAACATTGCAGATCTAATGCAGGTAAGACACGTTCGATATTAAAAAAAATGCTTAATGATTTATTAATTCATAAAGTTAATTAGAAATTGTATAATTCGACTTTCAGCTGCTAAACATGTGTATCACTCGTAAAAAATACAAGTG